TGGTGGACAACTCCTTCAAGGAATTTGCTATAAAGATATGGAGGGAAAAAAGGGTGGTGGCTGGAGAGGGAAGAGTGGTTTAAAAAAGCTTTATTTTATTTTTTAAGAACTGGAAGTCAATGCTGTGTTTCTCCTCTGAGAAGAATAATCCCACTGAAGGATAAAGAGTATGCAGGATAAAGAGGAGGTAACTGAGGGAAGGATGAAGGGATGAACTAGTGTACAGGTGGACACTGGACTCATAGGCAGGTAAGGAAGGATAGATGTGGTGGGAGCCTATGGAAGCTATCTTCTGTTGCTTCCGTTTTCTTCGTTAAGAACAAAATCATCTGCCAGGCATGAAGATTAAGGAGGAGGTGCAGGTTTTGGGAGAAAGAAGGTACGAAAGGCTTATCTGGGAGAACAGGGGAGCGAAAGTACAGAGACACAGTGTGACTGCTGGCATCCAGAGCCTACTGGTGAATGATCAGGTACTGGAAGTAAGATCAGTCAACAGGGCTGTGTATTTTCCTTCAATCAAGTACTGCTATGGTACAGAATCAGAATAAGTGGACAGCTGGGCTTAAACAGAATATAGTTTAGCCAAGCAAGTAAAAATGAAAAAGGAAATTGAGGGTATGTGCCACAGAATGGTTATAATTGCTGATCAAGGAATTTGAGGTTAGTAAAAGGTGAAGCGAAGAACAAAAAGGAAGATCAAGTTGTCAGGGTTGGAGCAGGACAGCAAAAGAGCCCAGACAATAGCAGGTGGTGGGAGATTAGGATCACTGATTGAGTATGAAGAACTGTAATGCTTGGGGTGCCTGGGTGGCTCAGCTGGTTAAGCATCTGACTCTTGATTTCGGCTCAGGTCATGAGATCAAGCCCTGCATCAGCTTAAGATTCTCTTTCTCTCTCCCTTTGCCCCATCCCTAAAAAAAAAAAAAAAAAGAGTTGTAATATTTGTCATTCCAGAGTATGACCAGGGGGAGGGGTAGCTAAAGTAGGGTGGAAGACAAGAGGTCAAGGAATGGAAGGGCAAGACATTGAAAGAATCATCTATATGGAAATCAGAAGAAAACAGCCCAGGCATTATTAGATAACTAAAACAAGGAGGGGAAATGGCTGATAGAATATAATAATGTGAGGTTTGAAGGTGAGGGTTATAGGGAGGAGGTAGAGAGAATAGTCTGAAAGCACTAAGGAGTATAAAAACATTTACCCATCTCCCGTCCGTGTTACAAGAAAGGTGGAAGAGAAGAATCACCATTTGAGAAGACCGCAGGGCAAGCCAACCTTCAGCTAGATCCAGAAGATGAAAGGCTGGAGAGGGAAGAGTGTACAGGCTGAGAATTTAGGGGATTTAGATGAAAACTGACCAAGAGGTCCAGAGGGTATAAGAAAGGGTCCTTAGAGACAAGAAGGGTAGTACTTAGGACCCATGCTACCTTTGGACACATTATCACCTTGACTGTTCCAAGTGACTTGACTTCTGCTTTGTCCTCAGTTTCTGCATCTGTACAGTGGGGGTAATCATGGCATGTACCTCATAGTGTTAATGTGAGGATTATGTTCAATGACACAAGGGAGGCATTTAGAGAGACCTTAAAATTGTGCACCTAGCACATAGTCTGGATTAAAAAAAACATTAGCTATTCCTACAAGCTATTTTCTCTCCTGCATAATCATTTTGGATTCTTTTAAGAATCTTTTAACTTAACATTTGAATAATATTAAAAAGTTTAAAATCTTCAATAAGATTGTTAAATCTAAGGAGGAGGGATAATACCATGTACTTGTCTGAGTTCTCCACAGAGTTCAAGGCCTGAACAACACTGACAGAAAGCTTAAGCAGCAATTCATGAACACCACCCATGACCTCTGGAGGAGACGTCACTGTACGCTCCATTTCCCAGATCTGTCCTACAGATGTCAAGAGATATTAGTAATCATTTAGGAAAAGGGGGTATAGGGCAAGGATGAACAAAAATGGAAGATAATAGCTCATGGATCTCGTACCAACCTTTAATCCCCACTCTATTTCTTCTCTGTAATGTCTCTCTACACGTAAGAACGTATTTTTTTCAATCTCCTTTCAACAGACTTTGGTGTACAACCTTACCAAAGGCTTTCTGAAACACAAATGAGCAGATTTTCTCAAAGAAGAGGACTGAGAGATAGAAAAGGGATTCCTAGGGCGCCTGGGTGGCTCAGTCGTTAAGCGTCTGCCTTCGGCTCAGGTCATGATCACAGGGTCCTGGGATTGAGCCCGCATCGGGCTCCCTACTCCGCGGGAAGCCTGTTTCTCCCTCTCCCACTCCCCCTGCTTGTGTTCCCTCTCTCGCTGTGTCTCTCTCTGTCAAATAAATAAATAAAATCTTTAAAAAAAAAGAAAAGGGATTCCTAGTCTCACTACAATTTAAAGTCAAGAAACCCTTCCAGAATGAGGGGATATGAAAGAATGATGTGATACATGTAGCTCACATCGCAGTTTGAAGCATATTAACATTCCCACTGTACAATCAAATAAACTCTAGATATATCCAAAAGTCAAACATTTTAATTATAAGGAAACGTCTAGAAAATATATTTATCAGCTCTATAAAAAAAGGTGGACCCTCTCAGCTTAAGAGCAATTATTTTAAAATGTATATATATATATTCAATTAATATTTAGTGAGTGCTTGCTATGTGCCAGGCAGTGTTCATGGAACCAGTCGTATGTTAAAATTTTTGAGTCAACAACAACAAAAAATAGCAAAACTAAAATAAGTAGCACAACCAACTAGGAAAATTTTGCATTAAAAACTTCAAAAGGTTGGGCGCCTGGGTGGCTCAGTTGGTTAAGCGACTGCCTTCGGCTCAGGTCATGATCCTGGAGTCCCCGGATCGAGTCCCGCATCGGGCTCCCTGCTCGGCAGGGAGTCTGCTTCTCCCTCTGACCCTCCTCCCTCTCATGCTCTCTGTCTCTCATTCTCTCTCTCTCTCAAATAAATAAATGAAATCTTTAAAAAAAAAAAATTAAAAAAAAAAAAAAAAGAAAGAAAAATTTCAAAAGGTTGGGCACCTGGGTGGCTCAGTCGGCTGAACTCTTGGTTTCAGCTCAGGTCCTCATCTCAGGGTTGTGAGATTAAGCCCCGTGTCTGGCTCCATACTCAGCACAGAGTCTGCTTGCGATTCTCTACCTTCTCCCTCTACCTTTGTCCCTCCACCTGCTCATGTTCTCTCTCTCTCTCAAATAAATAAATCTTTTTTAAAATTTTCAAAAGTTTAAAAATCATGATAGAAATTTACTCAAACTTTAAAAAAAAGAAATTTACTCAAACTTATAAAAAAATAATCTGGATCATAATAGAGAAAAATATTGCCAAACTATTCCCGTTAAGAAAATAAAAATAGATTTCTCATATTTGGAAAATATTCATTTTTGTTAATAATCAAAGGAGTGCCAAATAAAACAATCTGAAGTACTATTTTACATCTAAATTAAAGTAATAGGCACCATCTATGTTAGTGAGATGGTGGTGGAAGAGAAGCCTTTGTAGGGTGCCTTTCTCCCTGTAGTCTATTCTGTAGACTGCCTCTGGAAAGCAATATACAGAAAAAAATTCAGGCAATGCTCAGTCTCTGACCAGAGAATGCTACCCAGCACTATAACTGAGTAAATAGTTTTAGTGGCTCAACAATGTATGCAAGTAGTTAATACAGTATAATTTAGAATACCAGAAATAATAATAATAATATGAAAAGTAGTTTTACAAAAAGACATTTTTCCAAAGAAGACATCCAGATGGCCAACAGACACATGAAAAGATGCTCAACATCACTTATCATCAGGAAAATGCAAATCAAAACTACAATGAGATACCACCTTGCACCTGTCAGAATGGCTAAACTCAACAACACAAGAAACAGCAGGTGTTGGCAAGAATTCGGAGAAAGGGGAACCCTTTTGCATTGTTGGTGGGAATGCAAACTGGTACAGCCACTCTGGAAAACAGTATGAAAGTTCCTCAAAAAGTTAAAAATAGAACTACCCTATAATCCAGCTATAAATACTAATAGGTATTTACCCAAAGAATACAAGAATGCTAATTCAAAGGGATACATACACTCTGATATTTATAGCAGTATTATCTACAATAGCCAAATCATGGAAACAGCTCAAGTGTCCATCGACTCATGAGTGGATAAAGAAAATGTGGTGTGTGTGTGTGTGTGCGTGTAATGGACTACTACCAGCCATAAAAAGAATGAAATCTTGACATTTGCAATGACATGGACAGAGCTACAGAATATAATGCTAAGTGAAATAAGCCAGTCAGAGAAAGACAAGTACCACATGATTTCACTCATATGTGGAATTTAAGAAACAAAACAAATGAGCAAAGGGGGGGGAAGAGAGTGAGAGGCAAACTAAGAAACAGACTCTTAACTACAGAGAAGACAATGATGGTTACCAGAGGGGAGGTGTGTGTGGGGATGGGTTAAACAGGTGATGGGGATTAAGGAGTGCACTTATTGTGAAGAGCACCGGGTGATGTATGGAAGCGTTGGAAAAAAAAAAAAAAAGGTAGTTTTTAGAAGCCATAATTATAAACATGGGAAAATATTAATGACATAAATGAGACAAATATGTACATATATTCTCAGAACTCAAAATGAAACAGAATGAAGGAATTACAGGTAATTTTTATAATGTTCTGTAATGCTGCTAACTCACCTTTTTATTTAAAAGATCAGTTTATTTTTATTTAAAATAATCCCATCTTAGGGGCGCCTGGGTGGCTCAGTTGGTTAAGCGACTGCCTTCGGCTCAGGTCATGATCCTGGAGTCCCAGGATCGAGTCCCGCATCGGGCTCCCTGCTCGGCAGGGAGTCTGCTTCTCCCTCTGGCCCTCCCCCCTCTCATGTGCTCTCTCTCTCATTCTCTCTCTCAAATAAATAAAATCTTTAAAAAATAATAATAATCCCATCTTAAAACAGCATTTTAGCAGTATGTTATGAAAGAGAACACATACCTGATACTCGCCGATCAAATCTGCCAGGAATTGGAACTGTAAAACAAAGAAGCAAAATTTAGTCACCATTATGTCACATGACCCCATTTTTAACAAGAGAACTAAAAGCACCTTAATACCAAATGTTGGGTCAATTCATACTCTTCTTTAATCAGCCACAGATAGTAGTTCAACATGATCACAAACGGCAATATAAGGAAGAACTTACATCTTTGAAAACAAGCTCTTTATAATTTTAAGGTACTCAAGGTGGTAATTTTCTGTTTACATTCATGTTCCATCTAATTTGTATCATATCAGATGAATAAGAAGTCTACTAAATTTATTGGTAATGTTATGATATTAAATAGTTAATTTTCTTCTTTAATGTTTTTCAAAGATAATCCCAATACCTGCCGATAAGAGCATTTAAATTTCATTTTAAAATACTTTAATGAGCATTACACTAAAATGAAAAAGAAATTAACCATTAAGTTATATTCTCCCTCAGTAGGCCCACAGTCAGTGTATTAATCAGAAAAATGTCTTTAGGTTGAAAAAGAATCACATATGCTTTCCCTTTGCTAATCTCTTCTACTTTTCACCTATCGTTCCTTATGTTTGATGATTACCTAAATTCTCACTACTAAACTATATCATATGAATCCATGATTTTTTAAAAGATTTTATTTTTTTTAAGTAAACTCCACCCAATGTGGACTTTGAACTCATGACCCCGAGATCAAGAGTCACACGCTCCACTGACTGAACCAGCCAGGCACCCCAAGCTGGGTTTTAACCTTCAGAGCTTAATCTGATTATTTTTATTTAAAAAAATTATGTAAAATATGCCTTCTCACCCTCCATAAAAAGATAAACTTGAAGATTAGTGAAAAACAAATTGAAGATGGCTCAGAGAGCCAAACTCAACTAATGTGAAGGCTCTGAAACAAAAATAGACCCAGGAAGGAGACAAATGCTCATTCACCATAACAGGACTAGAATTATCTTTTTGCATAGCATGGGGTAAAAGTCACATTAGCAACAAATAGGCAAAAATTCAAAAGAAAACTGTAGCCATTATTGATAGAACAGTCCCTTACTACTTCCTCAATGAAACTATGGATATGTCAAAAAAACAAAAACAAAAAACTATGGATCTGTCAAAATTAATCCACCTACCAGCAAACAAAGATGATAAATTCAGTTCAACAAATATAGGTAGGCTACCTAGTAAATGGCATGCACTGTAGTAGACAATTTGGAATACAATGGTAAATAAAACAAAGACGCCTAATTTCATGAAGCTTGCGTTCTAGCTTGAGGGATGTGGGAGTTTCCTTTGATCACTTAAAATACATATTCCTGTCACTCAGGCAGACAGATGAAATGTGTACCAACTTAAATCGACAACCAAGGCCTCATGGAATTTCCATAATTAAAATCCCACTAAGCGGGCGCCTGGGTGGCTCAGTTGGTTAAGCGACTGCCTTCTGCTCAGGTCATGATCCTGGAGTCCCGGGATCGAGTCCCGCATCGGGCTCCCTGCTCAGCGGGGGGTCTGCTTCTCCCTCTAACCCTCTTCCCTCTTGTGCTGTCTCTCATTCTCTCTCTCAAATAAATAAATAAAATCTTTAAAAAAAAAATCCCACTAAGCATTAGTATCCAACATAAAATTATAAAACATACAATGAAACAATTTAGCATGGGTGCTATCAGGGGATATCTCAAACAAAGGGTTAGATATTAAGATTAAGAACTATTATAAAATGAAAACAGAACTTTTGGGGGGGATTTTATTTATTTATTTGACAGAGAGAGAGACAGCGAGAGAGGGAACACAAGCAGGGGAGTGGAAAAGGGAGAAGCAGGCTTCCCACTGAGCAGGGAGCACGATATGGGGCTCAATCCCAGGACCTGGGATCATGACCTGAGCCAAGGCAGAGGCTTAATGACTGAGCCACCCAGGCGTCCCCAGAACAGAATGTTTAAAACAAAGACATAAAAACAGGAATCAAAAGCACAAATAAAGGAGTAAAATACAACCAAAACAAAACAAAACAGGGAGACTTGAAAAAAATTTGGAACTTCTAAGAAAAAAATAACACATTGAAATTTTTAAAACTATGATGCAAGGCACCCTATCTGGGTATATAAAATCTAAAAATGATGGAAAAATCATTGTAAAACATCATTACCAACAACTTACTACAATAATATTGATTTAAATGTATTGGTGGAAATCAAAAGGGAAATTAGAAAATATCTTGAGATGAATGAAAACAAAAACACAATACACCAAAACTTACGGGATGTACTGAAAGTAGTGCTAGAGGGAAACTTATAACTATAAATGCCTACTTTTAAAAAGAAGAAAAGTCTCAAATTCATAAGCTAATTGTACACTTTAAGGAAGTATGGAAAAAGGACAAACTAAATCCTAAAGCAGCAGAAATAAGGAAATTCAGAGTGGAGAGAAACTATAAAATAAAGCATAGAAAAAAAATCAGTGAAACTAAAAGTTGGTTCTTTGAAAAGATCAACAAAATCAGCAAACTGTTAGCTAGACTGACTAAGAAAAAAGAAGATTTAAATTACTAAAATTAAAGTGGGGACATTTACAATGGAATACACAGAAATAAAAAGAATTATAAGAGAATACTATGAAAAGCAGTAGGTCAACAAATTGGATAACCTAGATGAAACATGAAATAGGGGCGCCTGGGTGGCTTAGTCGTTAAGCTACTGCCTTGGGCTCAGGTCATGATCCCACTGATCATGGGATTGAGCCCCGCATCGGGCTCCCCGCTCTGTGGGAGGTCTGCTTCTCTCTCTCCCCCTACTTGTATTCCCTCTCTCTCTCTGTCTCTGTCAAATAAAATAAATAAAATCTTTAAAAAAAAAAACATGAAATAGACAAATTCCTGGAAATACACAAACTTCTAAAACTTGCTCAAGAAGAAATAGAAAAATCTCAACAATCTATAACAAACAGGAGGATTGAACTGGTAATCAAAAATCTCCTAACAAAGAAAAGTCCAGGACAAGATGTCTTCATTGTAAATTCTACTAAACATTTAAAGAATTAACACCAATCCTTCTCATACTCATCCAAAAAGTCAAAGATAAGGGAACACTTCCTAACTCATTTATGAGGTCAGTATTACCCAATAGCAAAGCTAGAGACACTGCAAGGAAAGAAAATATTCATTATGAATATAGACACAAAAATCCTCAAAAAAATACTAGCACACAAAACCTGGCAACATATTAAAATGATTATATACCATGACCAAGTGGGATTTATCCCAGGAATCCAAGGGTGGATTAAAATAAGAATATCAAGCAATATACACATTAACAGAATGAAGCAGGGGGAACCACATTATCGTCTCACTGATGCACAACAAATATCTGACAAAACACTCTTTAATGATAAAAAATAAACTGGGAGTGATGCCTGGGTGGCTCAGTCAGTTAAGCTTCTGCCTTCAGCTCAGGTCATGATCCCAGGGTCCTGGGATCGAGTCCCAAATCCAGCTCCTTGAATCCGGCTCCTTGCTCAGCGGGGAGTCTGCTTCTCCCTCTGCCTGCCACTCCCCCTGCTTGTGCTCTCTCTCTGTCAAATAAATAAATAAAATCTTAAAAAAAAAAAAAAAGAAAGAAAGAAAATGAGGGGCGCCTGGGTGGCTCAGTCGTTAAGCGTCTGCCTTCAGCTCAGGTCATAATCCCAGGGTCCTGGGATCGAGCCCCGCATCCTGGGAAGCTGCTCCGTGGGAAGCCTGCTTCTCTCTCTCCCACTCCCCCTGCTTGTGTTCCCTCTCTCGCCTTGTCTCTCTCTGTCAAATAAATAAAATATTTAAAAAAAAAAAGAAAATGAAAATAAAGTGACAGTATGGCTAAAATTATTTAAAAAAAATAAACTGGGAATTATAAGGGAATTTCCTCAACATGAAAAAGGCACATAAGAAAAACCCACAGCTAACACCAACTCAATGGTAAAAGATTGTAAGCTTTCTCTGTAAGATCAGGAACAAGACAGAATGCCTGCTTTTGCCACTTCTACTGAATATATTACTGAAAGTTCTGGCCAGAGCAATTAGGAAAGAAAAAAAAACTATAAAAGACATCCAAATTAGAAAGGAAAAAGTAAAATTATCTGCTTGTAGAATGACATGATCGTCTATGTAGAAAACCTTAAAGAATCCACACAAAAAAGTTAGACTTAATAAGTGAATACAGCAAAGCTGCAGGATATAAAACCAACACCCAAAATTGTATTTCTATACTACTGCAATGAACAATCCAAAAGAAAATATTTTTAAAACTCTATTCACAACACCATCAAAATGAATAAAATATCTAGAAAGGAGGCAAAAAATTTGTACACTGAAAACTACAAAACATTGCTGAAAGAAATTAAGAGACATAAATAAGCCTTTTGCAATGTAAATGTACCCATGTTGCACACTTTTTTTTTTTTTTAAGATTTTATTTATTTATTTGACAGACAGAAACACAGCAAGAGAGGGAACACAAGCAGGGGGAGTGGGAGAGGAAGAAGCAAGCTTCCCGCGGAGCAGGGAGCCCGATGTGGGGCTCGATCCCAGGACCCCAGGATCATGACCTGAGCCGAAGGCAGACACTCAGCGACTGAGACACCCAGGCACCCCCCCATGTTGCACACTTTAAATATCTTACAATCATATTTGTCAATTATACCTTAATAAAGCTAGAAAAAAAAGACATAAATAAGTGGAAAGCCATCCTATGTTAAAGGACTAAAAGCCGTAATACTGTTAAGATGACAATACACTATCTAAAGCAATGTACAGATTCAATGCAATTTCTATTAAAATTCCAACGGTGTTTATTTATTTTTTTATAGGAATGGAAATACCTATCTAAAATTCATGTAGAATCTCAAGGGATCCCAATTAGCCAACTAATCTTGAAAAAGATAAAGTTGGAGGACTCATACTTCCTGATTTCAAGACTTACTACAAAGTCTCAGTAATCAAAACAATATGGTATTGGCATAAGGATAGACATATAGA